TCTCTATTTTATCCAAATGAGGTTCTTTTGATTTTGAGACATCATTAAAATTCAATAAGATTTGAGTTAGACTTACTAGAATTGAGAATAGCATGCATTCAATTTCGATTTTTTTTTATGCATATTAGACTATGTTGAAACATAGATTGTTCTTCTATGGATTGCACAGCAAAATATAGAAATCTGTTTTAAAAATACTCTTTTTGTGATATAACTTTGCAGAAATTCATGTTCAAATAAATACTAAGCAAAAAGTTTTTTCTAATATTTTTCTTTTCTATATGGGAGAAATAAGATGAATTTGTCAGATTTTCTAAAATCGTTATGCAATTCAAAGACTCATGAGTATATTGAAAACTATTCTTTTCCCTATTATCTTACAAAAAAATTCTTTCAAATTCATGCTCATTGAGGATGTGTGAAGATGTGAACGTGAACGTGAATATGTAGTAAAAGCAGTTCCACACCCACACCCATCCACAGCTGACATAATCTACTATTGGCAGGCTCTATTGTCTGAATTTTTTTAAATGAAAATTAAAACAAAATTTCTTATATGAAAATCAGAAAATGCGGAGAAACTGGAAAAAACGAAAAAGAGGTGAGAAGCGAGACGTGGCCCTCTTCTAATATTCTAGAATTCTCATAGAATTCTACCTTTAATCTTGTCTGTGTACATATAACATAGATATAATCAATACCTTCTTAACAATATTATCATATAACGAGGTGCGCACTGAGCTGAATTCTAGAATTTTAGAATAAATATAGATGAATTGATTTGATATTAGTATAGATGGAATTTTAGAATTTAGGTGTGGATATGGGTCCCCTCTTCACGTACATGCACACAGCCACATCCACACATATATAATCAACCATCATCAACTACCATCAGCGTTAACTTGTTCTATCCGAAACACCACATGATGCACCTATCAATGGACGTCTCTTAGGTTTCAGATATCTATTGTATCATTTTTTCCAGCCTATGTACTCGATGTAACAATCAACATTTCAATAACATAACCGTTGCTCACTATTTCTCTTTCACATACAATATCTACTTGTTTGCGAACCACTCAGATACTATATATTTTTTCTTATCAGAATCAATCGTCGTTGTGTATCTTCTAATTGAAATTCGTATTTCCCATACTTAGAGATCACCTGAACTATACCGCGAACACAAGCATTTGTATTTCCACTCACAGCATATTCGCCACCAAACCAATCAATACGATAACACATTTCATCATTACCGAGACTCATATATTCCAGTAGCGGAGCAGCTCAAATATTCATTGCCTGTCGGATTTCCGGTATCACGCGTTTTTCACACAAGTTGCAATCTCAAACTTAAATAATTGATGTACTTTGAGTGGTTCTTTTAGTGAATCATGTACTATGTCTAGCAATTCGTATTGTTCATCTTCTTCTTAGGTTTTGAAATTTTCATTCATTTCGTTTCTCGAAATTTCTATTCAGACTAAGATTCTATTTCGTCCAAACTATTTATTTGAAACTTCTATTGATTCTAATATCCTTCTTATACTGAAATTTTACCATCCTAAAATCCTAAAATTCTGAAAATTCTAAAATTCCATCTATACTGACATCAAATGATTGGATATATATTTATTCTAAAATTCTAGAATTTTAGAATAAGGCCACTGCTGTGAGAAGCGGAACAGGTAGTAACCTGGTACTTTTCTCATACTTTGTAAAAAAAACTGCCAGATTGAATCTTTTTTCCGATACCATTTTCAGAACCTTTTTAAGCTCTGAACTTTTTGGCTAGAACTTAGAAAAAAAAAAGATTCTTGAAATGGCACCCAAACCTAGAAACCTAAAAGGTTCAAGAGCTTCGCTAAAACCCTAAATGGTTGTTTATGATGCCCTTGTTTTTAGACATTAGGTATTTTTCTGCATACCAAAATTTATTCGTTTTAATATATATAGCTTTTTTTCTGTATATCATATGTTTACCGATGAGATTTTTCTTTCGATTACATCGCACAGAGGAAACATGAGACGATAAATGGAAAAGGAAACGGATCGTATACAAATATACTAGTCGCATTGTCCAAGTATCATATGGGAAAACTACTATCACAGGGAGAAAAGAAAAAATCGACAAGGAAGTAAAAGAGCACAGAAATGAGATAACTTTGTAGAAAAGGGGACAATTTTTCATTGTCCAATGAAATCATTATTATTGTCAACATGTTGTCATCATGAAAAAAAAGAAGCCATGAAAACTATATTCATACCAACAATGATATTTCGTTGTTTTACATATGATACTTTCTTATCGAATACTATTTTTTAAGCGTATATGAAAGTGAAATGCTTGTACACAATATTCGTTTTTTCTTAAAAAGAATTTGTCCATTATCAATTTTTTTCTTGAAAAAGTCGGAGCATATTTTTCATCGAATTAATAATATCTAATGTTTGTAGTTAAAATAGACACACTTCTGCAAAAAAATGTAACAAACAATGGTATTTGTGTGTTTATTGTTCATTGTTTGCTCTTCTTCTCTTTATTATATGTACCTATCTATACAAGAGGAAGAGAAAAAAGAATCGAAAATCACATTCATAACATTGATCTAAAATATTGTTTGTCCTTGGTTATTCAAGTTAACTCTTTTATGTCTAATCGCATCGTCAAATGTGTTTGAACTGTGTTTAATGTTTACAGGAGTATCGCAAGGCATAATAGGAAGGCCATGAGTCTGTCATCAATTGTCGTTCTCTCTCTTTCTATTTTATACTATCGTACCTTCTCTGTTCTAGTTCTAAACTGTGTTGTGTGTAGACTTCGTATTTGTTATATATATGTAGCTGTAAGCTTTTTTTGTTGTCTGTTCTCAATTGGCAATTTCGGTATATCACGAGTCACTGTTTTGCCGACATGTCAAGTTGGAAAAGACATAATTATGAGGAAGAAAAAATTGTATTATACTGCAATATATACTATGCCTGCCGTTGATACTGGGACATAGAATACTTAGAAGATGGATTTTTTTCTGTAGATTCTAATCAAAAAGAACACTTTACTGACAACGAGCGGTATGTTTCTTACTCTTTTTATGCCGTAAACTTTTCTGGTAACTAGCCATGTAGAATAAATAGCCACCAAGAAGAAAAGATTTCAAGATTTTTCATCAATTTTTTACATAAAATCGAAGATTCATCTCGATCTAGAACGTGAATGGATGTGGGGTTGGATGACATTGCGTAGAGTCACATACTTATACTCACATGCCTCTGAGATCCAAAATGACTATGGACAAACTATAAAACTCAATTCCGAGAAGGAGTCGATTTCATGGCCTAACAAATCCCTCCTTTTCGGTTTTTCTTCTCGACGTCTCTTTTATCTACTTCGACATAATTTATCACCCATATTTGGCCACTTTGCGAATGATAGACATCATGAATGTCGGAGTTCTTTTCACCATAACACAAAGTTTTCCTAGTATCCTCTTTCCTGAACATTGTATTTATTCATGTGGTAAATGTCTTCGTACTAATTTTTCGCTCATATGTGTTTCTTGATTTTTCGATGATTTTGTGGACATGATACTTTAAATCAAGCGTCAATATTCAATGAGTATTTGTGTCTGATATGTTCAGTTTACGCAAAAATTTTCTTTCCGATAGTCAGCTACTTCTATTCAACCATTGTTTGACTTTTGCTATTGTTGTTTTTGTACACACAGTACTTTCACGATCCGGCGATTTCGACAGATTATTAGAGCCAGTGTATTCAATCATTTTCATCCATCATTAAATCGCATGAAGTGATAAAGCATCATTGAAGTCCTGGAAGATTTTTCATAGATGATCGTCAGATTAATATTTGTACAGTACAGCATTTTAAAGACATTTACTTTGCATCTTATCAAAATTTCACGACGCATCTTTGAAACACCGTAAAGCTCAATAGTGTGAGTACTTACTGAGATTTGAATAAAAATGTAGGTGATCGATTTATTCTCAAGCGACCGTTAGTTTAATGAATTCCATACAAATAAATAAAATGATTTTTCTAAGTTATGAAATGTAATGAAAATTGTGAAGCTGTTGAAATGCCGATAACGAACGTATTTCTGGATGATGTGTTCAACCATAATAACGCATATAACTGTGTGAGACAAGTGGGATAATGATGATTGAAGAATAATCGGAGAATTTATCACGGTAGTAACTGCTGTTTACAAATCGGTTTCATCTTGAGAAGTGTGGTGTGGGCGAGTGCGGAATATGAGATGTGCATACCCATTACTTTCTGATTGACTTTTGGTTCACAATTCACTCATGTGATCACTAGTCGCGAAATAGGAATTCAATTATCATAAGTTCTAGTATGCATCTTGTTATAATTTTAAGAGAGAAAAAAAAACAGATGTGATTAGAGTTAAAAATGAGTCTAGTAATTGATCAAAAGGAAGTATTTGATGCAGATGGCCCTTGAACAAGCATGTACAACCATTCAATACCCTCGCTTTTTCCAACCGATAGATAGCGAGTACGCTAGTGCTGGTTTTTCGTGCTTTCAGTTTTCTTGTTTACTTGAACCTTTTTTTTACTAATGTACTAGATTCATGTATTACAGGCGTTTCACATACATTCTCATCTCTCTCTTAGACAGTTGTGTGTTTATTATCGTTTTGAATCCTGTGTTTTCCTTGCCAGGCAGTTTTTTTTCTATTGTTTTCGCTCAATTAGTGCAGAAACAAATGCAAGTTGTGAGGGCAACACTGCTTATACCAACTTATGGATTATTGTAGATAGTCTAGCTTGTCTTCTCTCTGCTTCATTTGCATAAATGCTTCGTCCAACCATTTCAATCAGTTCTTTCGTTTCTAATAAGTATCGATTGTGCCATCTTCCTTTTGACTGGTATGCTTCATTAGATGTCCAGACCGTGATTAGCATGACTGCAAGCGAAATGATGCAGTAATTTGATTATACCTGTGTATGTGGCTGTGGGCGTGAGTGGGCTCGGATGTCACTTTTGTCTGCATCAACACTCACGCCGATCTTGATTGTATAAAACAGCAACGTTCACGCTCGGCAGCTATCTCTGATGTTCATTTCATTCTTTGATTTCAACTCTTGTTTTGCTTTAATTTTCTGTTTGACTATGTGCTGATGATTCTAATTAAATGATAAGTAATTTCAATCCAGTATTCTGTAATAGCTAACTCCATGTTTCTTGGTTTTCATTTTTAGATTCACAAGATCGTTGAACAAGCGAACCGATAAGTTCGCTGAAATAGTGATTATTGACTGTCTTTCTATTTTTCAGACTTTTTTTGACTAATCAATCAACAGTTTTGCCTCTTCAATAGCTGACAAAAGCAAATAGGACAAAAGTGAGATATAGAACATGAGAGAAAAGTCACTTCACTAGAGAAAAAGATTGAATAGACTTGCTGGTTTTTGACTAAACGGACTACTTTTTACTAATGATTGAGTAGTATTTATAGCTTATATTTAGAATAAAAACGTTGAGAATATCTGTTTTCAAGTATCACAGTTGACTTCAACACAGTTTTTCTTATGAATATTCCTTAATCAATATTAAAAAGTTGTCTACTTAGTCGAAATATGACAGCCATCTTGAAGTTTTTCTTCAATAGTGTGAGTTTAAGACTGTCCAGTACATAGCTCGGACAAACTGTGCCAGGCACATACACTTTCAGAAAGATTTCAAGCGCTTGTAAGCTAGTGCAATATATGCTGAGTAAGAATTAAGAAACTTACAATATCAGTGTTTGTAAGCACCTACTCATGAAATCGAAGGCATTTGCAAGTTTCTTGGAGTGTGAATGTAGATGCAGATGGCTCTTGAAAGAGAAAATCCACATACTCCATCTTCATAAAGGATCGAACGCTTTAAATATCAGAAGAAGAGTAAAACAGATTTTCCTTCCATCAGGTGTTATTAAACAAAGCTCCAATTTTCACACGAGTCGCATTGTTCTTTCGACAGACTTTGATCGAAAACTTGATTTTTCATCAAAAACTACAACTGAGGTACTTAATCGCCAGGCAATAAGAAATTGAAACAGTACATTGGGTGATAGGGCAGATTCTGCTCTAACAATTGACATTTTAATCAAGGCTCTAGTTTTTAGTCCGCGATTGTTATCATGAAACTACGAAAAACTATCACAAAATTTTTCGCCTACAGCTATTTTAAGCCTTTCAAATATTTTCTCATTACTCCGAAACAAGATTTAGCACAAAATTTC